CTTGTATCTTAGCTAGCCTAGTCGTCGGCCAATCCTCGTGCTCGCTCATCCACAGCAGCTCTTCCCACAGCACCCGTTCTGCCTTAGCGACGACGCCCTACGCAAGCTCGCGGAACTGCTATAGTACGATAGGCCGGCCTTTAATATAGAACGTCTGTCGATCTGTAGACTACCACATGCTGCCAGCGATAGTGCTAGGCGTACGCAGGGCAATAAACTTAGCGTATGCTAGTAAACTTAGCATAGTACTCATCGGGCTATACGAGCCGTCTACTAGATAGCGAGCACGCTGCTTAAGAAAGCTACTCGTCTCAGCAGCACCTTGTTCAGCCCGCTCATCTGCTAGTAGAAAGAACTCTATCGCTAATACGCGTACGCAGTAGACAAGAGAGCTAAGCATAGACGAGAACTCAGCAGCTGTACGTAGACGGCTGGTCTCTGGATGGATACTAAGAGCAGCAAGAAAATGGACTATCGCGCTGGCAAAGGGCTGCCCGTAGAGCTCCTGGTAGATAAGAGCGTGGGATAGGCGTAGCACGTACGTACGCTGCTTGGCTATTGTAGTACTGCTGCTGTTGTACTGGGAGAGGTACTTCCAGAGCCGCTCTGCTGCTAGCTTCTGCTTACTATGCTATGGGAAGAGACGAGCGATGCCGGCGAGCTCGGGCACTGCTGGTGCTGCTGATGCTGCTGGCACTGTTGGTGCTGCTGGCACTGCTGGTGCTGCTGGCACTGCTGGCGTCTGCTCAACAGCTACTACACGGAGACAGTAGTAGAGTAGCCGCGCCTAGAGTTGAGCCGCGCGCAGCTGGCTGGCCTTGTTTTGTATACGGCTGAACGGCCGGACGTTAGGCTCTTGAAGCTTTGCACTGCGCAGCCAACGTAGCGTATCTTGAGGTAGCGTGCTAAGCCCCTGTACGGCTTCCTCTACTAGCCCTTCTACAAGCTGTACAACGCGCTGTAGCTGCGGCTCCTCCGCTGTTGGGAGGCGTATAGCGTACGATAGTAGCTGCCAGTCTGGGTAGGCCTGTAGGTGCTCGTCCCACTGCGTCCGCTTGAACCAGCCCGTACGGTCTTTGGCATCAGCTTCTTCAGCTATACGCTCTATATTCTCGCGATCCTTGCGCTCAATAGCGCCGCACTCGCATGATAGATAGGCTAGCCGCTGCTGATAGCTCTTCTGCTCCTCCTCCTCCTCCTCCTCTCCTCCTCCTGCTGCTGCTGCTGCTGCTGCTGCTGCTGCTCTGGCTGCTGCTGCTGCTGCTGCTCTGGCTGCTCCGGCTGCTCCGGCTGCTCTAGCTCCTGTACGATAAAGTAGCGTCGATACTGCGTCTTGCGGAAGAACGTCTGCACTTTTACAGGCCTCCATAGCTGCGTAGTATTATTATCGTACGTAGGCGTAGATTGTGCTAACCAGCGTGTAAGTTTTACGCTATGCTGTTGATTTATATGCTTCTTTATCCAGCTCCGGCTTATACTAATAAAGTTACATGCCGTATAGTAGTAAAGTAGCGCGTTTTCTGGCGCACCTAGCTCTGCTAATGGCGCACTATACGGCGCTGGCGCGCGTACGTAAGTAGGCGGCTGTAGCGTATAGCTACTATAGTGTTGCTATAGCTCTCTTCTCTTCTGAATAGATAGCTTATGGTAGCGTTTCAGATGCTCGTCTAGGCTATAGATAGCGTACTGGTGCTCATTACAGATAAGAACGCTGTAGGTAGGTAGATAAGTAAGCATAGCTAGTAGTATATATATAAGAGTATAATATTCTAATAGTAGACTATATAGTTATTTATTAAGATATATATAGAGAGAGAGAGCGCGTAAGAGAGAGAGAAATAATAAGCTAGTTGCCCTAGCAACAATCAGACGATACGGGGAGAGCGTAAGTAGAAGTTAGGGTTAAGTTAGGGTTAAGAATTAGGGTTAGGGCTTAGGGTTACGCTAGCGTCGCGCGAGTGCGGCCCCGATCGCCTCGCGCGAGTGCGCACCCGACGTCTGTACGCTAGCCAATCAGCTTGCGCGAGTGCGGCCCCCGGGTGCGCACTCGCGCACAAAACGCCGCTCTACATATGGTTAGAGTTTTATCTAGTTTCTTAGTTAGGTATAGTATTAGTATCTAAATTATTCTAATCTTAACCGCTTCTTATCTAACTTTGTTTTCTAGGTAGTCTCTATAGAAGTGTCCCGTCTTCCTATATTAGAGACATACTTTATTATTATAACGCTTCTTGCGTTCTTTTAAGGAGAGTCTATTGTTATACTATTCTTAGAGTTTTCTATTCTTATCTTTGAACTTATCTTATACCTTACTAGTTATAATAGTGTTACTATCTTTATTAAACTAGCTACGCTGCTTCCTTATATTAGCTATTGTGGGTTAAAATTATTTCTTTTATTAGTTTCTTTCTTATAGCTTATTATTAATGCGTATTACTAGCTTAATTAGCGCGTAAAGCGTGTTTAGTTTATTATAATATATAAGTCTGTCTTTAATATTTTTCTTTAGATCTACTTTAAACACCGTTTAAAGTACTGCGTCGTCCTAGTTAATTTATACTTATAGCTACTTAAACTTGGCTATATATGCTAATACTAAACTAGTCTACTTTAGGTGAGTTATCGCTTTCTCTATCTAGTTCTAAGTATCTACTTTCCTAAAGATATATTCTATCTCTTTCTTAAATTTAGTCTAACTAGTGAATAAGGCGCGCGTCTTATTCTTTATTTCTCTATTCTTAATATTTAATAGATAGTTCTCTACGTATAGCTATATCTAGCTTAACGCTTGTCCTTTTATATAGGTACTAGCTATAAGGATCTTTTCTTAGTTATTAGGTACCTCGTTAAATTCGCAGTATAAGTTAATATTAGTAAGGAATGTCCGTAACTTAGTGCGACTTCTATTATACTTTTCTAGGGTTGCTATGTTTAGCTTCTTAAGTAGTTTCTTATTTAGGGTGGCTATTAGTTAACCTATAAGTTAGTTAATCGTATTCTGTAACTTAGCTATCTACCTTACTTAAGCTTAGCTCTCGCGTCTAAGATTAATAAGTTTGTACTTAGGGCTCTCTACCGCCGGCTCGTTATTTCCCTCTTAGGTACTACTAGTTATGTTGATATCTCTCTTAGGTACTAAGCCTAGAATATTAACGTATTTGCTTAAATTTCCTAATATAGTCTAATCTTATTTGGACGCTATTAGTTAATCCTTCTTCTACTAGATTTATAGGTGGTTAAAGTGTTACATAGAGTATAGGTCTATACTTCTCTATTCTATTCCGTACTAAGGTAGGTAAGTATTATGTTAGTATTGTAACGGCGCAGGCAAGACTACTCGGATCAGTATCGGCAGTAGCGTCACTCAGAGGCATATGGGAGTGCGTGGGACATCAAACGAGCCTTGATTCGAATAGACACCTATAGGCCTTGTACGAAAGGATATCAAAAATCTATCGAGCTACGGTATGGAGAAGGTGGGGTTTTATATCAGCAGATCTGCCCTCGGCTAGTGCGTGCCCATGTTCGGATCCCTTTCGGATGTTAGTTCAGTGTGTACTCGAACCGTTACACTACCCCCCCCTCTATTGACAGCTAGTCCCGTAGCTGTTGAAAAATTTTCAATGTTTGTTTGTTTGTCTGTTTGCTTGATGTCGTCATCCTTCTATGCAGGGTCTCGGCCAGGCCCCGAACAGCCTCCGGGCCAAGGAGAATCCACTCAGCACGTGATATTAAATCCGT